TGTGTGTATTTGTGTGTATTTGTGTGTGTGAGTGTGTGTGTGTCGTGTTACCTGTGTGGCAGCCTCTGTGTACAGTCCTCTTGCCGTGGTGTGTGTGTGTCTGGTTGTGTGTGTTGTGTTCTGAGTCGTTGTGTTTTCTCAGAGCGCCGCTGAATAAAGTTTTCTTCAACTTGGACCGCTGAGAGTCTTCATCCTGAACACACACAAACACACAACAAGGACACACAACAACACACACACACACAAACACAACAGTCAGCTGTTTCTCCTTCACTACCGGTCATACCAGCTGGAGGCTGCAGGTGTCCCACGCTCCCTCCAGCGCCTGAACGCACCGCTACACCTGCTCACCTCCACTCGGCACTTCCTGGTTCCATGGCGGGACGTACCACCTCTTCGTCGTACACAGGGGAGCTTCTCTCCTGCCTCCAGGGGGAACTCACTGGGCACTGCACCTGTCAGCTCCTGACCAATCAGAGCGCAGCAAACACACCTGAGATTACATCACAACCAGGTTGCAGTACAAACTTCTGATGTCTGAGAACTAGTTGCAGAGGACTAGTTAGAGAGGTAGGAGGACTAGTTACAGAGGTTTGGTGGCCTGCCAGTTGACCAATCGTGTTTGGTCTCTCACTGTGACATCACTCACCGCCTCCTGCAGGCAGATGCGCCTCAGCTCAGCCAATCGCGTGCTCAGCAGTGCCTGCAGACTCCGTCTCCTCTCCTGCAGCTCCACAATTCGCTCCCTCTGCTTCCTGTCTGGACAGGTGAGAGGGTCTGCACACACACAGGTAACACTCAGGTAACACTCAGGTAACACTCAGGTAACACTCAGGTAAATAGGATGCAGCATCTAGCTGTGTGTTCTCACCAGGTGAGATGAGTTGACCTTTGACCTCCATGGCTTGTGTTTCCCATGTGACCCCTCCACCTCCGTCCTCGCTGCTTGACTCCTGTTCACCTCCCCACACACTGTGACTCACCTGCAACAAGTAGCACACCTCATCAGGTCCTACATTTACCTGAGGACTAGTTTACAGGTCTAAGGACTAGTTTACAGGTCTGAGGACTAGTTTACAGGTCTGAGGACTAGTTTACAGGTCTGAGGACTAGTTTTCCATGTGTAAGGACTAGTTTAAAGGTATGAGGACTAGACTGGTCGAGGCAGATGGCTGCCTTACCTAAACCTGGTTCTGTCGGAGGCTATTTTGTCACTCTGATTGGGTTTTTTTTTTTGTTCCTTCCCACCATTGTGGATCAGAACTCAGGGCTCAGTTACCTGTGCAGCACCTGTCCAGGTGTTACTCACCTTGTAACTGGGTTCATAAGAGCTCCAGTAGTTGACTCCTGTGGCCATCCAGCAGCCTGAACACCGACCTCAGGACCGCCTCGCTGAGCTCTACATTAGCTGTTAGCTGGAGCTGCAGTTCCCAGACCGGCCTGTAGAGGGAGCTGAACTGTGCTCAGAGCTGCTGACCTGCGAGAAACCACAGAAGAAGAAGACAGACTGAGAAACCAATCAGAAGGCAGGGAGACAGTCACAAGTCCCTGGTTTATCCTGGATGTTCCTCAGGAGATCATGTTGGATCCCCTGATCCGTTATCAGCTGATGTTCTGCAGGATTCTAACAGGAGCTCCAGCCTGCTGCTCGTGTTCTCCAGATCCTCACAGATGAGCAGTTTGATCTGAAACAGCTGCTTGTTGTTGCATCTGTTGGGACTACTTTCAGCAGCGGATTAATCCACAAGTGGAGCAGAGAAACATTTAACTGATGTCTTTGTGGGGTGTCAGGGTTAAACGTGGGAGCTGCAGACTGAGATCAGACGAATGTTTAGAATACAAACGTTGAGAGAACATCGAGTCCAGACACGTTCATCTGCAGACAAAACACACAGACTTATCTGGACTTTATTTACACTGAAAACCTGCTCAGACCACTGATACGTCTCAACTTTCAGCTCTGGAACATTTCTGGCTCTTCAGTCTGTGAAGTGACGTCATTCATTCAGACTGAGGTCAGCGTTCTGCTCACGTTCTGTTCAGGTTCTGCTCTTGTTGCTGGCAGAAGGTATTCATCCTCCACAGACCCTCGACACAGCGGCTGCTGGTGAGCAGGTGTTCCAGCGGTCCATGTCGGCTCACTGGTCATGACGTCGTGGTTCAGTGTGTCGATGCAGCAGATCTTAAACGGACTCAATAGCTCAAACTTTAGCGCCTCTGAACATCTGGGAGGAAAAATACTCTGATTACATCCTCATTGGTGAGTACCAGTAATCTGTGCTGTTGTGGAGGCTTCGTTTTACTGCCTCAGATGTGAAATCGTAGATCAAAGTGAATTTAAAGGTGTTCTGTGATTGAACACAGAACCTCTCTGAGATGTTTCTGACGAACTTTGGAGTTGAAACTCAGAGTTCTGCTGCTTGTTCCTGTCTGTTAGTGTGACGCCTCGGTTCTGTCCAGTTACTGAGCTGTTCGTCTCTCACACGACAGTTTGAAAGCATGAAGTCAGCAAGTTAACCTGACGAGAGAACGACTGAGGACGAGTTCGTTAGTAGGACTAATTGTAAGCCGTTAATGACCCATTTAACTGAATAATGTTCATTATGTGAGCACAGCTGCTGGTTGTTTTATCTCCTGTGACTTCCTGTGTGAAGGACTCAGTGTTACGGTCTGTAAACATACCACAAGGCTCTTGACAGACCCGAGGTCAGCTGAGCTCAGAGCAGCAGAACATGGCGTCCTGACGGCCTGAGAACAGGAAGCGGAGCCGACAGGAAACAGGAAGACGGAAATGAGTGTTGAAGGAAAAGGGGAAATGTGGGGGTTCAGTCCAACAGTGTGTTCAAAACAAACAGAGCCGACAGTAGAACCTGAACCAGAGCTGCAGACTCAGTGTGTGACTCATAATGTATATATAAAATACATTTACCCACGTTTCTTTGGTTCAGGCTGCAGAACCGTCGTGATTAGCTTTAAGGCACAAAGTTGTTTCTGATCCGTCACATTGAGGGATCAGAACGTCTGCTGTGTTCAACGATGCTGCTTAAAGCAGGTAAATCTGAGATTTAAAGCAGATGCAGAAACTTCACAGGAACATTTAGAGTCTACAATAGAGGTTAGCTGCAATCATCAATGGACGACAGTTGCTGCATCAGTCTGAGTCCTTTCAGACAGAACTCAGGAAACTTGCTCCTGCAGCATCTCAGGTTCTGCTCACAGTTCATTTGGGATGAAACTAAGTTCTGTGAAATATTTTGGCTGAATTTGAAGAATTTCATGATTTCAGATCTGACAGTTTTTCTATTTTCATCCTCAAGATACATTTTAAGGTTCAGAACCTCCAGAAATAAAAGTCCAACATGAAATATGGAGAGTCAGAGAGAACAGTTCCATCAGAACCACTGAATGGATCCAGCAGGACACAGTTTAGTTACTGGTTCTAGAAACTGGAATAAATAAGTATAAAACCTCCGATCAGGCTGGTGCTGATCCAGAAAGTTTCTGTCAGTGTCTGTCTATGGATGGATCCATGGTTCTACTAGAACCCAGTCTCTGGTCACATTATGCACATCTAGAACCACCATATGGTAAAATGGTAAATGGTCCGTACTTATGTCGCGCTTTTCTACCTTAGCGGCACTCAAAGTGTTTTACACCATCAGAGGACAACCGCTCTGCCACCTGAGCCACAGCCACCCATCCAGAACCAACATCCAGAACCAACA